CCCCCCCGCCATCGCGGTGCTGCTGGTCAGTGGGACGTGTGGGCCCCCCGCTGCCGAGGAGGGGACCCACAGACCCATGGTCTCCGTCCCCCCTGACCGGCAGCAGCCGCTTCCTGCTCCTACGGCACGAGCCTTCCGGCAAGGAGACTCCTCTTCGGTCAGAATGGGACTGGCCACATGGCTCGACTCACTCCATCTCCTTGACCTGAGTTCACCCAGCCTCTGGGCCTTCCCTTGGGAAACGAAAGCTCAGCCCATCCCGACTGCGCAGGCTGGAGGGCAAAGGAACGCGCAGATCTGCTCCTCTGTGAGCGATGGAAGCCCCTGGTGAGCAGGTCCAGGGCTCCTGTCCCCCCAGCCCGGGCCACCCTCGCCACCATGAAACCCAAGGACGTGGACAGCAGATGCCCAGAGGTAGCGGAGCAGCCTCGGCACAGGCAAGACCCAGCCCGGCCGGAGTCCCGGGTGGCTCAGACTGGGCGGATGCAGATTCACGCGTAAGGAACCAGATTGCTGAGGAATGAGCGATGACTGAAACCTCTTGGACAGGAACGCTCTGGGCTCAGAAAGCTGCCAAACGTGCTCCGGTAATGGACAGGAGCCCAGATCCACCAGGGATAAAACCCCCTGAAATAACAGGATTGATGGGGGAGAGCAAAGCTGGAGCAACCAGGGCTCGTGTGCAGCTGCCAGCCCAAGCACGGTGCAGGGGATGTAGGAGGGATGATGGTGCTCGGCCTCCCGCACGCTCGGCACCCGCCGCGTGCTGCTCACGGAAGGGACAGTGTCTCCCACACGCCGGGACACGGGAGGGATGGGCAGAGCTGCCCTTGGGCAGCTACCTGCCACCCCGCACAAGTAAAGGATGAAGGCCCTTTCTCTGCACCCTCCTGCCACCCCAGCAGGAGGGGGACGAGCCACGTCCCAGCCCTGCTAAGCCGGGGCAGCATGGGGGGGACGAGCCACGTCCCAGCCCTGCTAAGCCGGGGAAGAATGGGAGAGAGACCAAGGCCCAGATGCACTCCAGCGTTCAAGTTTCCAACCCCGCTTCATAAATCAGAGCATAAAGACCTCAGTGGCAGCGTGACAGCTCTCAGCCGCCACGTTTGAAGGCTGCAACCGAGCTGAAAGTTGATCCCGGGTCCCCGGTGGATAAGCCGCTGTGTCATCTCTTCTCTGCAAGAAACTGCCTGTACAACAACCACTGTCTTGGCCAGCACGCCGGGGAATTAGCCTGGGAGCTCCGGAGCGGGG